GTGCTGTGCAGCCTGCTCTGGGTGACCCTGCTTCGGCAGGGGGTTGGGCTGGGGGATCCCCAGAGGTCCCTTCCAGCCCCGACCATTCTGTGATTCTGTGAATTGCTAATGGAGTTAAACCTTCAGCTCACCTCAGACTCCTCTTCAATTTTCTGGCTTTCCACCTGCAGGAGATCCAGCAAGGTCTGAGGATGCATTGCTGCAGCAAATTTCTCTGGGGAAAACAAAGAGAGCAGCAAAGTTAAACACAAAACAGGGGAAAAAAATCATCGGCACGCAGCCCTGTCGCGCTCTCACAGGAGCGCCTTCCTGCCTTCGGAACTGCTGATGCGAGAGGAAAAGCGGAAGAGGAAAGAGCCTCAGGCACTGCTGCGCTAGAAGGGTTTTCCGCATCCTCGATCTGCCCAACTGAGTTTGACTGGGAAAACGGGAGAACACAGATTTTATATACTGCAGAGTCCTTTCTGCCACCCCCTTCAAGAGCGGCTCTGCTCCGAAGGCAGGCGCAAAGCCACGGCCAAGGCAGGCAGGAGCAGAGGGAAGGACGTCGCACCAACTACAGCCCACGCTACTCCCGTGGGAAAGCGCGCGAGGCTCGCAGACGCTCACCCAGCTTCGCCTTTTGCTCTTTACAGCGCTCAGCCAGCTTCTGCAGCTCTTCGTATTTGTTCGAGAGGTCGGCGCGCCCCGTTTCCAGCGGCGCCTGAAACTTCAGGTTCTGCTCGGCCAAGCTCCGGTTGGCGGCCAGGGCCATCTCCCTCTCCAGCTGCAGCTCCTGAACCTGCGGAAGACGCCGGTCCGGTTCCGCAGGGCGTCCATCCTCCCAGAGGAACCGCCAACCCCTGGGACGGGGAAAGGAAGCCCAATAACGACGGGTTTTTCTAAAGCCAGCTGCAAATAGGTACTAATCCTATCAGGGGTTTAAAAGCAGCTTTGCTGAGCTGCTTGGAACGGCTGAGCCAGAGAGGTTCCCCCCGTGCTATAAAGAATCAGCAAGACCGAGGGCAGAGTGTGAAGGAAAACGCAACACACCAACTCCTTCCTGCCTCAGCAACTGATTTTTTTTCCCTTTCCCAGAGTATTTGGAAGGGTTACTCGCGTGTGCCAGACAGTTTTGTCATGGAAACACCCACTCACAGCCACTTGATAGCACGGCGGCCCCCCCCTGACTCTCCAGCTCCAGCTGGATCCTGCTGCACCATCCCGTTCGGCTGAGCAAACCCCCCTGGATCTGCTCACAGCCGACCGCGACCCACGGGCACCGGTGGGGCCACCACCCCCTCCCCAGTCCCGCGGTTCCAAGCTCTTTTGATGTGTTTTCTCTCTGTGGGTTTTCCTTTCTGGCTACGTGGTGCCATCATTTCCCTCACTTATCGCTGCTACCCTTAGAAAACATTCAGCAACAGCATTATTCACACGCGGCGCACTTGATCCGATGCTTGTGATTGTAAAAATTAGCAAAATATTATTAAAATCAGGGAAATAGTGGATTTGTCGCACCACATCTGTGACTTGTTCCAAGTAATCCAGGCTTTCTATTGATTTTTAGCAAATGTCAGATGTTTGTGTCACAGGTTCCAGGGCGTGGGATGCAGCAACCCGGTAAGGCACGCAGACCCAGGTGGGAAGCACGGGAGCAGCGCGCTCCCGCCGCGAGGGAAAGGGCCATACCCGACGGTTGATGGGGATTTCGGCGGCGTCCTAATCGCTCCCGGCTCTTCTACCTCTCATCCGGGTCAGACATCCCAACGCTATCGCTGCGGGAACGTTGCGTCAGGCTCTGCACGGGACGCAGAACGACAAGCTAAGGCTCAGGGTTACCAAATCTCCTCGCCCGGGATCCAGCCAAACCCGTCCCAGGAGCAACCACCCCAAAGCTGGGAAACCAGCTCCCTCGCTGCGTACGTGTGGACGTAACCTCATCACTCTGCACAAGGAAATAAACTCATGGAGGGGTTTTTTCGTTATTAATGAGGCTCGTGGAACGTAAGAGGGTAAAATTAGGAATAGTGGCGGAGGGAAAGCTCGATCCTGGGCTGGGCTGGCCCGTGGGAAGCATCCCAACGGCCCCCCAGGAGGGTGGGTGGAAGGAGCTGGGCTCCAGCACGGGGCAGGGGCTCTCGCCTCAAGGATCTCCCCCCGTTTTTAGCAGCGTTCCGGTAAGACGCAGCCAGCGAGGCGAGGGTTTGCCTCTCCGAGGGGCAACGCGTGGGTTCTGGCGGCTCGGAAGGGCTGGGGGTGCCGTCCCCGGGTCGGGAAAGATACCCCCCCCCCCCGCAGCAGTGCTGCCGGCCCAAGGCCTCC